CAATCATGTGGGGAGTGAAAAATAGAAAACAATTATCAAGAGATAAAAAGAACAACTGATTTGAGAAACAACAAAGAGAATTGGGAAAGGTCTCAAAAGATTGTGAAGGAGTCTTTAGTGAACCCAAAGAACTACCAGCTCACAGGGATGTGGATCATAAATTCCAATCAATTTTGGAGTGGATCTAGTTAATGTGAGACCATATAGATACCCTCACCTTTTAAAAACTTGAATAGAAAAACAGGTGAATCCTGTAGTTATGCCGTTTTGATTGACTAATGCCCCAACTACTTCCCAATGTGCCATGAACACCATTTTGCAGCCATATCCTAGGAGGTTTGTGTTAGCTTTTTTTGATGATATACTGATTTACAGCAAAACATGTGAAGGGCATTTGGCAAAGTTGAAACAGGTTCTGAGAACATTACAACACCAATTTTATGGTGTCGCAACCGGGATCGCGACGGGACGGTGAACTGAAAACGAACGGGTATAAGAAAAGATTTTGGGAGTCGCTACCATAATTTATTCTGGTAAAACTATGGAAAACCGTAAAATAAGACATGGTCTACGAAAATTGGATTTTAGGTTCAGGAATCGGTTACACAAAGCAGTACATTTAATTAAATGTATAAAGTTGACGTGGTTTTTCAAAATACTTAATTTTCCCTAAAAAATAATAATATAAAGAAACTATGAAGAAACAAAAAAAAATATTTTTTTGTTTTATGAACCCGAGAAGGATTAATCTTGCTCCTAGGTATATCCAACAAGTGAACCCGACAAGGATTGACTTTGCTCCTACGTATCTCCATGATGGAAAATCAGGTATCTGTTAAAAAAGGGTTTGATTTAACAAAATTGACATTCTTTTGGTTTTAAAGATTTTGTATTTTTTTATTTCAAGAATGGTGGGAAAAAGGAAAGAAACCGGCCATACGCCGAAAAATTATGATTTAAGAAAAATGTTATTTGTGTGTAGTAAAAAATAAAACCTTTAGAAAAAACCTTCAAAGTTCAATAAAAAGAGAAAAAGAAGGGTGCATAGGTGACATACCTTTTCAGCTTTTAGTACTTCCCATTCTTCCTTGGTAGTTTCTGTTGGCAGAGTCCCTCTAGCATGAGAACTTATTTTTCTCTATACTCTCTCACTCTTTCTATCTATTATTTCAAAGTATCTCTCCATTTTTTTTTTCGTCCCTTTTTTTTTCAATGACAGGGTGCGTATTTATACACATATTGTAATATTATGGTAATCTGATCTTAATTGTAAATTAATTGATAATAAACAAAATAGGGAAACAAAATGTTTTGGTTGCAAGAAAAACAAATCAAATAATATTCAAGACATTGATTATAATTACTGTCAGAAAATTTGTCCATTTTTAAAATCATATTTTTTCTCTTTAAAAAGAAACTGACGCAACAAATAATATTATATTATTTTTAATTATTGCTTATAATTATTGACATAATATTGATTCAAATTATTACCATATTATTTCAAAAATATTTTTTAGTGATGTGTCATGCATTGAAGTTACATTTTTTTAAGGAAATTTATTTTATTATTTTCTTCTTTCTTTTTTTTTTTTTACACACCACTAATTATTATTCTCTTTTTTATTTTTATTTATTTACTTACCCGTACGAAATTGAGTGTTGACATATGGTAATTGGAAAAAGTGAGAATTCGGACAACTAGAATTCAAAAATTGGGTAATGTTATCTCTAGTAAAGGGGTAGAAATGGATTCCCAAAAGATCTCATGAATCCTTCGATGGCCTATTCCCAAAACTATGAAGGCCCTAAGGGGACTTTTGGGACTATATAAGCTTCATTTACAACTACGGAAAAAGAGCCAGACCTTTGACTCAATTGCTGAAAAAAGGGAATTTTCTGTGGTCTAAAGAAAGCAATATGGCAATGCAACAACAAAAAATCACTACAGCTCCCGTTCTAACAATACTAGATTTCAACCAGCCTGTTTGAGAAAGTATATACATTCTTATTTTTGGGTGTTGAGAAAAGAAGGATTATAGTTTGTCGTGACAGTGAATAGCCTATGTGAAAGGAAGCAATTCCTTTGTAATTCTTGTGCTTCTGTTTTGGGTGGGTAATTGTTGAATAATACAGACACGGGTCTGTTTTTATGTCATCTCTATCTTGGTTTGCCAACTCTTAGAAGGGACGTAACGTAGTAATGTATGACTCTGTAAGTAAGGTCTGATATTTTGTCATCGTAACCTTTTCTGTGATCACTGTATTTTTTCTAAGATTGTTCTATATTTTATTATTTTAGTTTCAGAAGATATTGTGCTGAGGTTTTACAAACTGAAAAAATTTCAAATGGTCTATGGCTCTTCATTTTTCTTGAGCAAACTAATAATACTCAAAGTGCTTTAACTAATTTTTAATCTTCTTTTCTATTACAGCCACAAAATGTTTCAGGAATAGGTGAGCTGGCTCTTGGTTCCCTCATGCTTGGGGCATCAAATACATTGCTGAATGCTGACCATTATGATGTCTATTTCAAAGGAATGCCTCTATTGAATGGAAAGGTTGGCATAGCATTTATTATGTGGTATTTGGGTATCTGGCCTACCTGAGATTATACAGTTAAGTTTCTCTAATCAGGTTTTACGGAGGCATGGGGATGTATTTGACCGTACAGCTAGAGGATACTATCATGCACATGGTCGTGCAGACGACACAATGAACCTTGGGGGAATCAAGGTAAACATCCTGCCGAGATAATAATTAGTTAGTTATTTAGATTGTTAATGAATATGAACATCTGATATGTCAAATAAAAATTAACTTCTTTTAGTTGCAAAGCAACCATTCTCTATTTCTTTATGTAGTTTGTGGGAACGAGTTCATGTTCTGTCACTAATATTGATGTATAAAAGTATGCAATGGTTCGTCTTGAGTTCATGTTTAACTTCGTTTGGTACAATTGTTCTCTGACGTGTCATTCTCATTTTAAATTTTTTAGGTTTCTCTTACTAAGATATAAGCAAAGGCTGGCAGGTTTTGAATATTTTAGATTCAAAATTCAATTGCAGAGATTTCCCTAGAGTGTAATAATCTTCTACAGGTGGTAGAAAATTGTAAGGAGAGAGAATCAATTGGCATATGAAACTAAAATATTATAAGAAAATAACCTTAGTAGAATGCATCAAAACGGAATGTTAGTCTTTACTAGGGATATGTGGCATGAGTTGGATACTGTGCAGCCTAATCAGTGAACAGAGAAAATATATTATATCTCGGTGATATCAAGTAGTTGAGGCTTGTTCCCTAAAGCCTTATGAAGTAAAATTTGCTATATCGGTTTTGTACTTCTAATCATTCATTCTTACTTCTATTGATATTTTCTTTCTTAATAAACAGGTTTATCTGTCAGTGAGAAAGCCTAATGTTTTTCTGTATATAGTTTGAAAACTTTTAGAATTCTACTTTTAGTGTGATCTGACATTTCATGCTGTTTGTGTGGACAGGTGAGTTCGGTTGAGATTGAACGCATATGCAATGAAGTAGATAACAGTGTTCTGGAAACAGCTGCGATAGGAGTTCCACCTTCTGGTGGTGGACCTGAGTTGTTGACTATAGTTGTTGTATTCAAGGATGCAAATTTTGCAAAGCAAGATTTACACCAATTGAGGATATCTTTTAATTCAGCTCTCCAAAAGAAACTAAATCCACTGTTTCGGGTATTGATCATTTTCCTATTAGAAGAGTACTATGAATAAATCTTTACTAATACATTATTTTAATGATTAAATTTTATTAAAAGTTAAATATGATGGGAGATCCATAAAATTATTTTCAATAAAATTCAATTAATAAAAGAGTATGTTAAAAAGTTGTGTGCACATTATTTCTCTTTGTGACAATTGTTTTACATATGTGAAAGAGTAGGCAAACTCAGTATAGCACCTATCCATACATCACCATATCTTTTTTATATTTTATTGTTATAAGAGCCCATATAAATGAATGTATCAGCTAAGAGATAATTAAGCTCTTTTAAAAATCTTTTCATTTTCCATTCTTAAATTGGTATCAGAGTGGGTTGATCCTGCTCTATTTGTCATTGTCTGATGTGTCCATTAGTAAACTACTATTGTTGTTGTTAAACATTAAGATATTGTTAGTTACAATAACTTATGTTATTTACAATATTATGTGTATTTGGGCTTAGCCCATATTTTATTGTTCTTCATTATAAATATATTGTCCTACGTGTATTTTCTACACAAGGGGAATTAACCTTATACCTAGTTTTCACTATTGTCACATGATATCCAGATCCTAGATTATCTAATAATCCCATATATATNAGATTAGAAGATGGAAATCAAAAACAAACAAATGGTTGTTGAAGGGACATAAAAGTGTAGTTGGATAAGTATACTGTGAAGGAGACATTTTTTATTTTGAGTTAGGACAAGTGGATTTGATCTTGGGGTAGAATGGTTGGCTACATTGGGAGATGTAAGGTGAATTCAAGAACTTTATCAATGAATTTGAGCACATTAGCACACTAGGCCAGTTTGTTAGCATTAAGGGGGATCCTACTTTGGCAAAAAGCTTGATGACCACAAGTGTTGATGAAATAAATGGAAACTAGAAGTTGTCTCAATCATGTGGGGAGTGAAAAATAGAAAACAATTATCAAGAGATAAAAAGAACAACTGATTTGAGAAACAACAAAGAGAATTGGGAAAGGTCTCAAAAGATTGTGAAGGAGTCTTTAGTGAACCCAAAGAACTACCAGCTCACAGGGATGTGGATCATAAATTCCAATCAATTTTGGAGTGGATCTAGTTAATGTGAGACCATATAGATACCCTCACCTTTTAAAAACTTGAATAGAAAAACAGGTGAATCCTGTAGTTATGCCGTTTTGATTGACTAATGCCCCAACTACTTCCCAATGTGCCATGAACACCATTTTGCAGCCATATCCTAGGAGGTTTGTGTTAGCTTTTTTTGATGATATACTGATTTACAGCAAAACATGTGAAGGGCATTTGGCAAAGTTGAAACAGGTTCTGAGAACATTACAACACCAATTTTATGGTGTCGCAACCGGGATCGCGACGGGACGGTGAACTGAAAACGAACGGGTTTAAGAAAAGATTTTGGGAGTCGCTACCATAATTTATTCTGGTAAAACTATGGAAAACCGTAAAATAAGACATGGTCTACGAAAATTGGATTTTAGGTTCAGGAATCGGTTACACAAAGCAGTACATTTAATTAAATGTATAAAGTTGACGTGGTTTTTCAAAATACTTAATTTTCCCTAAAAAATAATAATATAAAGAAACTATGAAGAAACAAAAAAAAATATTTTTTTGTTTTATGAACCCGAGAAGGATTAATCTTGCTCCTAGGTATATCCAACAAGTGAACCCGACAAGGATTGACTTTGCTCCTACGTATCTCCATGATGGAAAATCAGGTATCTGTTAAAAAAGGGTTTGATTTAACAAAATTGACATTCTTTTGGTTTTAAAGATTTTGTATTTTTTTATTTCAAGAATGGTGGGAAAAAGGAAAGAAACCGGCCATACGCCGAAAAATTATGATTTAAGAAAAATGTTATTTGTGTGTAGTAAAAAATAAAACCTTTAGAAAAAACCTTCAAAGTTCAATAAAAAGAGAAAAAGAAGGGTGCATAGGTGACATACCTTTTCAGCTTTTAGTACTTCCCATTCTTCCTTGGTAGTTTCTGTTGGCAGAGTCCCTCTAGCATGAGAACTTATTTTTCTCTATACTCTCTCACTCTTTCTATCTATTATTTCAAAGTATCTCTCCATTTTTTTTTTCGTCCCTTTTTTTTTCAATGACAGGGTGCGTATTTATACACATATTGTAATATTATGGTAATCTGATCTTAATTGTAAATTAATTGATAATAAACAAAATAGGGAAACAAAATGTTTTGGTTGCAAGAAAAACAAATCAAATAATATTCAAGACATTGATTATAATTACTGTCAGAAAATTTGTCCATTTTTAAAATCATATTTTTTCTCTTTAAAAAGAAACTGACGCAACAAATAATATTATATTATTTTTAATTATTGCTTATAATTATTGACATAATATTGATTCAAATTATTACCATATTATTTCAAAAATATTTTTTAGTGATGTGTCATGCATTGAAGTTACATTTTTTTAAGGAAATTTATTTTATTATTTTCTTCTTTCTTTTTTTTTTTTTACACACCACTAATTATTATTCTCTTTTTTATTTTTATTTATTTACTTACCCGTACGAAATTGAGTGTTGACATATGGTAATTGGAAAAAGTGAGAATTCGGACAACTAGAATTCAAAAATTGGGTAATGTTATCTCTAGTAAAGGGGTAGAAATGGATTCCCAAAAGATCTCATGAATCCTTCGATGGCCTATTCCCAAAACTATGAAGGCCCTAAGGGGACTTTTGGGACTATATAAGCTTCATTTACAACTACGGAAAAAGAGCCAGACCTTTGACTCAATTGCTGAAAAAAGGGAATTTTCTGTGGTCTAAAGAAAGCAATATGGCAATGCAACAACAAAAAATCACTACAGCTCCCGTTCTAACAATACTAGATTTCAACCAGCCTGTTTGAGAAAGTATATACATTCTTATTTTTGGGTGTTGAGAAAAGAAGGATTATAGTTTGTCGTGACAGTGAATAGCCTATGTGAAAGGAAGCAATTCCTTTGTAATTCTTGTGCTTCTGTTTTGGGTGGGTAATTGTTGAATAATACAGACACGGGTCTGTTTTTATGTCATCTCTATCTTGGTTTGCCAACTCTTAGAAGGGACGTAACGTAGTAATGTATGACTCTGTAAGTAAGGTCTGATATTTTGTCATCGTAACCTTTTCTGTGATCACTGTATTTTTTCTAAGATTGTTCTATATTTTATTATTTTAGTTTCAGAAGATATTGTGCTGAGGTTTTACAAACTGAAAAAATTTCAAATGGTCTATGGCTCTTCATTTTTCTTGAGCAAACTAATAATACTCAAAGTGCTTTAACTAATTTTTAATCTTCTTTTCTATTACAGCCACAAAATGTTTCAGGAATAGGTGAGCTGGCTCTTGGTTCCCTCATGCTTGGGGCATCAAATACATTGCTGAATGCTGACCATTATGATGTCTATTTCAAAGGAATGCCTCTATTGAATGGAAAGGTTGGCATAGCATTTATTATGTGGTATTTGGGTATCTGGCCTACCTGAGATTATACAGTTAAGTTTCTCTAATCAGGTTTTACGGAGGCATGGGGATGTATTTGACCGTACAGCTAGAGGATACTATCATGCACATGGTCGTGCAGACGACACAATGAACCTTGGGGGAATCAAGGTAAACATCCTGCCGAGATAATAATTAGTTAGTTATTTAGATTGTTAATGAATATGAACATCTGATATGTCAAATAAAAATTAACTTCTTTTAGTTGCAAAGCAACCATTCTCTATTTCTTTATGTAGTTTGTGGGAACGAGTTCATGTTCTGTCACTAATATTGATGTATAAAAGTATGCAATGGTTCGTCTTGAGTTCATGTTTAACTTCGTTTGGTACAATTGTTCTCTGACGTGTCATTCTCATTTTAAATTTTTTAGGTTTCTCTTACTAAGATATAAGCAAAGGCTGGCAGGTTTTGAATATTTTAGATTCAAAATTCAATTGCAGAGATTTCCCTAGAGTGTAATAATCTTCTACAGGTGGTAGAAAATTGTAAGGAGAGAGAATCAATTGGCATATGAAACTAAAATATTATAAGAAAATAACCTTAGTAGAATGCATCAAAACGGAATGTTAGTCTTTACTAGGGATATGTGGCATGAGTTGGATACTGTGCAGCCTAATCAGTGAACAGAGAAAATATATTATATCTCGGTGATATCAAGTAGTTGAGGCTTGTTCCCTAAAGCCTTATGAAGTAAAATTTGCTATATCGGTTTTGTACTTCTAATCATTCATTCTTACTTCTATTGATATTTTCTTTCTTAATAAACAGGTTTATCTGTCAGTGAGAAAGCCTAATGTTTTTCTGTATATAGTTTGAAAACTTTTAGAATTCTACTTTTAGTGTGATCTGACATTTCATGCTGTTTGTGTGGACAGGTGAGTTCGGTTGAGATTGAACGCATATGCAATGAAGTAGATAACAGTGTTCTGGAAACAGCTGCGATAGGAGTTCCACCTTCTGGTGGTGGACCTGAGTTGTTGACTATAGTTGTTGTATTCAAGGATGCAAATTTTGCAAAGCAAGATTTACACCAATTGAGGATATCTTTTAATTCAGCTCTCCAAAAGAAACTAAATCCACTGTTTCGGGTATTGATCATTTTCCTATTAGAAGAGTACTATGAATAAATCTTTACTAATACATTATTTTAATGATTAAATTTTATTAAAAGTTAAATATGATGGGAGATCCATAAAATTATTTTCAATAAAATTCAATTAATAAAAGAGTATGTTAAAAAGTTGTGTGCACATTATTTCTCTTTGTGACAATTGTTTTACATATGTGAAAGAGTAGGCAAACTCAGTATAGCACCTATCCATACATCACCATATCTTTTTTATATTTTATTGTTATAAGAGCCCATATAAATGAATGTATCAGCTAAGAGATAATTAAGCTCTTTTAAAAATCTTTTCATTTTCCATTCTTAAATTGGTATCAGAGTGGGTTGATCCTGCTCTATTTGTCATTGTCTGATGTGTCCATTAGTAAACTACTATTGTTGTTGTTAAACATTAAGATATTGTTAGTTACAATAACTTATGTTATTTACAATATTATGTGTATTTGGGCTTAGCCCATATTTTATTGTTCTTCATTATAAATATATTGTCCTACGTGTATTTTCTACACAAGGGGAATTAACCTTATACCTAGTTTTCACTATTGTCACATGATATCCAGATCCTAGATTATCTAATAATCCCATATATATACTAGGTTATCTAATAATCCCATATATATATACCTCAACGTGAGAAAAGTCTATTGGAAGTCCCACATCAACTAGAGATAAGATCAATTTAGAGTATATATGTGGATGCAAACTTCACCTTACAAGCTAGTTTTGTAGGATTGAGTTAGGCTTAAAGATCACTTTTTAACATGATAACAAAGCCATTATTAAAGCCTATCCTAGCAAAATTTGTTAGGACTATTGTTCAGACCACCCATTAATGCCTAGTCTCATGTACGAGATGTATATACCTCTATGTGAGTANTTAAAGCCTATCCTAGCAAAATTTGTTAGGACTATTGTTCAGACCACCCATTAATGCCTAGTCTCATGTACGAGATGTATATACCTCTATGTGAGTAGGTGTGTTGGAAGTCCCACATCGATTAGAGATAAAGTCAATTTAGAATATATATGTGGGTGAAAACCTCACTTTACAAGCGGATTTGTGGGCTTGAATTAGACTTAAAGTCCTTTTCTTAGCATATATTATTCTATTTTTCCATTGCCGTCGCAACAATCGTTGTCGCAGCCACCTTTCAGATCGATGATCCCACCAATCGGATTGTCTTGGCTAGTTGACCACCATTTCGCTTAGATCACCTTGATCAAAGCTCTCACGTGCCAATCCAATCTTGCGTCCACTAGAGCTTTTTAGTCGTGCGCGGTGGCATGTGTTAGCCCCTCGGCAACAATCACTTGTGTTTGAATTGCTTCCCCTCCTTGTTTTGGATTTGTGACTGTTTACTTCATTAGAGAACTTTGTCTTTGAGGATTTCTCTCTCCTCTTTATCTATGGCCTCAACGACTTCTTCCTCTGTTGTTACCACTTCGTTTGATTCGTCAATGTACACTAATTATGTCAATGGGCATCTAACCATTGACAAATTAGATGACACAAATTATGAGACTTAGGCATCAAACATTAAACTTTTGCTTTAAAGTTATGGGTATGTTGATCATCTCACCTAGAGTGTGATTTCTATTAAAGCTAATAAAGCTTTCCGTTGGTTGAAAATTGATGCTATCTATAGTTTAAAAGTTTGGGAATAGAAGAAATTGTTATACACCAGCGACATTCTACTTGTTTATGGTGTTTGTCACAATGTTATTGATGTTGTTGCTCCAAACGTCATGGTCCAGTGGCTGAATATTTGGGTAAAATCCATTCTCTCCGTCATGACTTTAATAAGTTATTACCTCTTGTCTCTATTCCTTCTCAAGAACTAGAGCAACGGTCAAAGTTCTTTATGTTATTGGCTTTACATGGACTTTTTGATGACTATTCTCATGTTAGTGATTAGATTTTTGGGTCCCTATTCTCCTAAGTTTTGCTTCTACTTGTTCCATCTTTTTGTGTGTACTAAGTAAATGGATTACTCATATACATGCTTTTGCTGATGATGATTCCCTCTATTTTGGTATCTCAACGTGGTGAGTATAATCGTTCTTGCAAGCCGAGCAAAAGACGTCACAAGTGTGAACATTGTCACAAGCTTGTTCATAAGATTGACAAGTGTCATGCCTTACATGGTCGTTCTCCTCGATCTATTGCAATGGTCCAAACTAATCCTCCCTTACAACCATCTAATGTGGATCCTACTTTGTCTAATACCATAGGACAGTGATGAATTTATCAAATGGTATCAGGATTGTCAAAAACCTAGTTCCATTACTTTTGTTGTACACACATGTGCATTATCTGCTTCTGTTAGACCTTGGGTTCTTGACTCAGGTGCCATCAATCATATTCCTGGTAAAAAATCTTGGTTTTCTTCTTTATCTTCTACAATTTATTTACCTTTGGTTATCGTGGCTAATGGATCTAAGGTCTTACCCATGGTGTTGGTGTTATTAACCTTTTCCCTCTTTTTTCCTTTTATAATGTTCTTAATGTCTCCAAGTCTCAGTTAACTTATTATCCATCAGTCATCTTATCCATTCCCTTGATTGTGTTATTTCTTTTACCAAAGATCTTATTTGTTTATAGGACTGGGTTTGGGATAGATGATTGGCACCAAATGTGAGTCTCAAAGTCTTTATCATCTAAGACCTTCTGCACATGTTTGCACGATTATGGATTCTCCATCTTTCCTTCATGCTTAGTTGGGCCATCCTAATCTTGACAAAATGTAGCAGCTTACTCCCAGTTTATTCAATTTATCTGATATGTCGTGTGAGTCATGTCAATTAGGGTAACATAGTCGTGCTTCATTACTTTGTAGCGTCTCACAATGTGTGTTATCCTTTTTTATATTACTTCATTCTGACCTTTTGGGACCTAGTCGTGTTAAGTTTAATTTAGGATTTCATTATTTTGTTATCTTTATGATGATTATTCGAGATGTATTTGGTTATTTTTAATGAAAAATAGTTTTGAGTTGTTTTCTACATTTCAATCCTCTTACAAAGAAGTTAAAAATCAAGTTGGGATTTCTATTTAAATTTTGCGCAGTTATAATGGCCGTGAATATCTTTCGCATTCTTTTAAACATTTTATGTCTTCTCATGACATTTTTCATCAAACCTCATGTGCTTATACACTTCAACAAAATAGGGTGGCTGAGCACAAGAATGAAACCACTTGACACAATCTTAATTCATGGTGAGGTTCTTCAATATTTTTGGGGTGATATAGTTCTCACTGGATGGTATTTTATTAATTGCATGCCATCTTCAGTTTTAGATAACAAAATCCCTCATTCTATTTTGTTACCTCATGAACCTCTTCCTCCCTTACCTTTAAAAGCTTTTGGTCTACATGTTTTTTTCATAATTTTAGTCCTGATCTTGGTAAATTATCTCCTAGGTCACACAAATGTGTCTTTTGAGGATTCACTAAATCATAAAAAGGATATAAATGCTTCTCTCCTTCTCTTAACGGTTATTTTACTTCAACTAAAGTCACATTCAATGAGTCTTCTCTTTACTTTAAGTTTCCTTCTTCGTGTGTCTCACTCTAGTAGAGTAAATATTTCATGTTATATGTGATCTTCCTGTCTCACTCTAGTCCACCTCACCTCCAGATTCTCCACCTCCACCAACCCTTTAGGTGTACTATATATAGTTGACAACAACGTTCTCATCATTCATTGGATGACTCACTTCTACTACCCAATGCTCCATCCCCTTCGGCTCTGACAACTAAGTTTGAACTTCCAATTGCCTTTTGTATAGGTATACATTCTATATGTAATCCATCTCATCATTACACTGCTTTGAGTTACCATAGATTTCTAGTTCTACTATGTCAATTCCAAAATTTGTAGGTGATTCCTTAGCCCATCGTGGTTGGCGTCAGGCTTTGCTTGAGGAAATCAATGCTCTTTAGAATAGTGGAATTTGGGAGTTTGTCCCATGACCACCTGGGAAATTCGTTGTTGTTTGCAAGTAGGTCTTTGCTATAAAAGTTAATCCTGATGGTACTATTGATCGTCTCGAAACTCGTCTTGTGGTCAAATGTTACACAAATTTTTGGTTTGGATTACGGTAATACTTTTTCTCCAGTAGCAAAGTTGGCTTCTATTCTCTTATTTATAGCCATGACTACTCTTCAACAATGACTTCTTTACCAATTGGATGTCAAAAATGCTTTTCTTAATAGAGATTTGGGGAAGAAGTTTATATGGAGCAACTTCTAGGTTTTGTTGCTTAGGAGTCTTTTGTTTTGGCTCATTTTTGCAAATCTTTATGTGATAGATCATTCAGTCTTTTATCGTCACTCAAGTGTTAGGTGTATCTATTTAATAGTATATGTTGATGATATTGTTCTTAGAGGTACTAATCACAATGACATCTCCTAGATGAAACAATACCTTTGTCTTTACGAGGACTTAAATTTAATTATATTTGTAACAAGCTTGACACATTATTTATGTACCAACTTGAGGAAGAGTGGTAGATATTGTTAAGATATAGTTAGTTACAATATCTTATGTTAGTTATAATATTACAACGTAGCCCATATTTTTTGGTATTATTCTTTATTATAAATATATTATTCTATATGTATTTTCTGTATAAGAGGACTTAATCCTATATCTAGTTTTCACTTATTTCATGCTAATTATGTAATTAAACTGTATAAGGAAATATTATTTGCAACATAAATCAAAGAGTTCTGACACTCACTTAGAGCTTATATGGATAAAAAGTTCCTTCAATAGCTGAAATTGTCAAATACAACAAATGAGAATATCCTCTGGTAACCAAATAGCTATTCATATAGTTTCCAATTCTATATTTCATGAGAGAATCATTAATATAACAATTGATTGTCATTTTATTTGGAAGTTGTCCTGAAAAATTTGCAAGAAGTTTGTCAACTCAAATGAACAACTTGTAAATATAACAACTTGTAAATATTTTGACTAAGTCTGCATGTGAGAGTTACATATTCTGAATGTTCCATCTCTCGAGAGGGAGTGTCAAAATTGCTTAGCTAATGTGAAAGGGTTTAACCTTTTTAAAATAGGTTAACTCATCTTTTGCATTACCTAGCACCATATGTAGGCTATTATCTTCTTTGTATGTGTAGATTATCTTATCTTCTTTGTATTTTACTGAACTCAAATGAATGGATTAGCTATAAGAGCAAATTAAGCTCACTTTTTTTTTTCATATTTCCATTCTCGAGTCTCTTTTATTTGGGCAAAACTTAGATCACATATGGTATTGTTGGTGTTGTTTTTCAATTAGAATTAGAATTTTACTTCAATAATCTACATAATATAGAATAAATGTTATCTCAAATTACCCAGATGAATGTCTAAATGTAATTGGAAAACGACGTCAATGCCATCTATGATGCTGTGTATGTTTTTTCTCCTTTTTTTTATTATTGAGCAAGTTCTTTCATTAAATACATGCTCATTTGTGTAGGTTTCTCAAGTTGTACCACTGCCATCTCTTCCAAGGACGGCATCCAACAAGGTCATGAGAAGGGTTTTGCGACAGCAGCTGACAGAAACTAACCAAAGTTCTAAAATATAATGATGTCATGTTATTCAAATATTCAAGATTAGATATGCCACGGTCATTATGGTACACAATTAAAACTATTTTTCTTTTGGTACTGGAAAATAATACTTTTACGTCAATTAGAAAATAATGCACAAATGATATATAAAACATTTCAAATATTATTTGCAGAAGGCTTAGTTTCACAGAAGTATTATTTGTATTGGAACATTTTCCGTTACAGTTTTGTTCTTAAGTATTTAAATGTCTTAAAACTCTTAAACAATGTAAAACTGTACAACATCTTTCAAAAGTTACACATTTGAAGCATCAGGTTGAAAGTAGTATTACCAGCAATGAGATTAAAGTAAAGCCTTGAAAATAATGCGCAGAGAATGCGGCTTATACCTTTCAATAACAAAAAATTGAGTAATAAAATGTATGAAAACGGTAGTTAATATTTTTAGTAATTAAGAGAAGTGTGCATGGCATTTATAAACCAAGTTTAGTGATAAAGACGATAGGTGACGCAAAATAAATTTCTAACTTGAAATTTGATTTTCTTTAAATAGTCCATTCACTCTAGTTGCTGGTGAACCAAACTTTTTAAAGAGTGGTATTAATGTAATTTGGCTATGTCATGTGTATCTTATTAAGACAACTTATAACTCTAGACTTTTAATTTTTTTTACGAAGACTGTTATATAATTCAAACTTGTCTTAAATATGGCAGATTCCATGCCCGTATAGTGCTCATTGATATTTTGTGACTCCTAATGAAGTTATTGGAACTTCTTGTAAAAAGAATGAATAAAATTTTCATGTATACAACTTTTAAGTATGTGCCATGATTTTATGAGTGTTTTTCTTACCATGACATAACATATAGTCCGGAATAATCTTGTATTATTGTACATTGTGAGGGTAGAATAACAAATAAAGAAAGTCAATTTATAGGAAATATTATCCCACCACCTTACACATTAACCATGCCCTTAAGAGGGAGGGTTACCCTCCAAGTCTAAGAAGAAGGCACCATGTTATTGAGTGTTCCAATAAAAGATCAATACTTTTAAAAGCCCAAGAGTTTATTAGCCATGACGAGGCTCATTCTTCATCCAACATGGTTTCTTTTATGAGGAGGAAGCTCTTTCTCATGAAGAAGGAGACTTATTATTGGCAAGAAGGCTTATAAAAAGCCAATCTACTCAGTTAGAATAATCACAAAGTGTTATATACTCCCATGATCAAAGATGATGGTGGTATAGTACTTAACCAACAACTAAGTATACTTATCTCTCTAGAAAAATATCAAAGATGAGATTTTACGTGGTATAATTTTTATGGAAGCATGACATATCTTACTTGATAGGACATGCCAATATGATCCTAAATCTATTCATGACATCTTCACTAATAAAATAAGTTTCACTTATTAAGAAAGAAAAATATTTTTTGTTGCCTCTCACACTTCAACAAGGAAGGAAGAGAGAATAAAATGAAAAGAGAAAAAAAGTTTGAAGAAGAAAAAGAGGAGGAAAATAAAAAGCTAGGGAAGAAGGAAATTTAATTATACTAGCATCTAGTAAAGTAGATGAAAAATGGTTTCCTAAGAGAAATTTCACAACCTTAAACTTTTTTCTATCTAAAGAAATGATTCTAAATTATCTTCCGAAAATTATATTAAAACCCATTTTATTTTAATGTTACATAGCAAGCAAGGAAGAAAAAAGCAAAAAAATATATGTAATAAAAACAACAAAAATATGTTCCTTATTTCTTCATACTATAAATTTTGTACAAACAATAAAGAACATTGCTACTTCACCTTTGCTTTTAGAAGAACTTTTTAGTATTCTCGCAACAATTGGATTTTATTTTGTTTTTCTTCTTTACTATAGGTTGATATTGAAAATTATGTATATTGTAAAGTTTCATATCATTTAGAATAAGCAAAGAGTGAGTATTGGTGGTTATACAATGGACTCTAGGTTTATGGTTTTAGTCATCTTAAGTTTAACACACTTTGATTTAGTGTTGACTTTTTTTCTTATATACTATTGCAATAGAATGTTAAATTCTTGTTCTAAAGAGTGTAGGTATACTTGAGGTCAAAGGGTTTGAAAGTGTTTTCTATGTGTTACACAAATGTTCACATAATGTTATTATCTGGTTGTCTTTAGACAATGATTATGACTTTTTCTCTGGATTTATATTATTTGTGTATTCTTGTTTTTATTTATTTCTCTATATTTATTTCTCTATTAGTAGGGTGATTCTTGAGAGTAAAGACAATGCGTTTTTTCAACAAGTGGTATCAAAGTTATGATTTGGACAATATTTTTACATGCTTAAAATTATAGAAAAACTACAAAGAGATCTACAAACAAATGAATACACAGGATAACTTAAATTGGTAAAATCAGCATATTTGAAGGTTAAGTTTTCTCCACTAACTAGTGACGAAATTATTAACTAAAGTTAAACTAAAACTTGTAAATGTTAAAGTGTTACATCAAGTCTAACATATGAGTGATGCCTGAGACTTTTCAAGTCGGGTAAAATAAATATAAAATAAAATAAAATAAAAATAAAATCTTTTGACTAAAGATAAATACCTTACCTGAAATAAAATATATTGTAATTACATTACATTACTAAAGAAATAGACTAAGATATTATGATTATTAAAAACGTAATTTAAAAAAATAAAAAACGAAAGACGATGTTCCTAAGGCATGGAGAGAAATAAAAGGGTTCAATCGTGAATTGAGGTAAGTTTTCTCATTCTCATGTTTCTCTGGGCGGTGTATTTGGAGTACTCCAATCGGTTGTTTCTGATGGCGTAACAGGCGAAGACGTAGATGATGGTCAGAACCACTACCACGCACGCATTCAGTATGCTCACATCTCTCCACTGCTTCCTTACTCCGGCCAGCACTCCCCCTTTGCATGAATCGCAATCAAGACACATTTTCTCTTCCCTGTTGCTCCAAACCCTACAATCAGAATCCTCCACCGCTGCACCCGCTTTCGGCGCCTCCCACAACGTTCCATTCAGTTTGAATCCACATTGCTCCGGCGGCTTGCAGCACCCAAACTGTTTGTAGAAAGGTCAGTACGTCGTTCGGGTAATATAAACATAAATACAAAAGTTATAGCCCTTGTTTCATTTCTATTTGCTTTCAATATTTCTAAACTCATTGAATCTCGTGAAAAATCATTGCTATCACGTTTAAAATGGATGAATAATAACTACTTAGTAATAACAATGGAGAATCGGAGAACTATCTATAATGTAATTGCTCTTGAAAATAATGTTACTTTTGCAAGTGCTTAAAGGGAACTGTGGGAAACCTGCGTGGTAGTTGAGTGTTTGAAGACGAGGGAGACATTGTTAGCGCCCACGGCGAGGCCGTGACAGATACGCGCTTGCAAGAAGCACCTCTTGGTGTCCTCCCAGATGTGGTCGTCAGAGACGTAGTGGCGCAGCCAGGGCGAGAAGTCCCGTACGGTGAAGCCCACGCGCGAGGCGCGGTGCGGCGCGTTGCCTTTGTTGACGACGAAGAGCGCGACGAGAGTGAAGGAGGCGAAGGTGAGGATGACGAAGAAGGTGACGATGAGGTAGAGGTAGAGGGCGGCGTTGACGCGGCACAACGCGCCGACGAGGCCGAGAGCGGAGACGACGGAAACGAAGAGGCCGCTGAATAAGAGCGGGTATTGGAGCACCTTCTGGCAGTCGCCGTGGACGCGGATGTAAGCGGAGACACCCACGGCGGCAAGGCCGAGGAGCAGAGGGAGAGTGTGGAGGATTCCGACGAAGGTGTTGTTTATGCGGAACATTTTCCGACGATGTATGTGTGGAAATAATGAGTAGAGAAAGAAGCGTAACTGTTTTATTAGGAGAAAGGAAGAGGGAGTTAAGGGTGGTAACGGTGTTATGGTTTCTGAGGGCTTCAACTTTGAAATCGTGCTTATACAAGTTTTCAAATTTTGGGTTACGGTTACTTTTGTGTCACTGCTAATTATGAATTAATTATAAACTAATTATTATTTTAGTGACAAGTCAAAATTTTGATAAACACTTTAACATATCTATTTATTTGTTATTAGTCACTACTTATTTCACTAATGACTAAGTATATATAGTGACTACTACGTACTTAGTTTATGTTTAGTTATATGTTAATTTTTGGTGTAAACCGAATTTTAAGTCTTACTTTTTGTTTTAGTTAAAATTTAGGATGATCTTTCAAACTCTATAAGTAGAACATTCATGTCTATATATCTTCCATTCCATTGTGAATTAACAGGCTATTTTAGATAGGAAAATTTAATAGGACAATTCATTGTTTCTAGAGAATTTGAAATGTTTTATGTACAATATGTTGTTTAGGTAAAAAAATTCAAAACATAAAATTCTAGAATTTCACTAAAAAATAATTAGAGAATTTCAAATTTTACCTAAAATATAAAAATTTGGAAGTATCCATATTCTCAAATTCACATCTTATCATTCGTTCTGCAAGTTCAATTTGGTTCTGGATACCATCAATTTAACTAAGATCAAGACATTATTGAGATAATTACTTTTGGGTTGATGTTGATTCAATTTTTTTTTTATTGATGTTAATAGAAGTTATTTTGTGATTTAAATATTTTTTTAAAAACCATTGTTATTGCTTACTCTATATTATTAAAGTATATTTACCAAAAGAAACTATTTTATTGTGGATGTGAATTAATTTTTTTTTAATTGATGTTTGTCATGATTATTTTTTCGTCAGATTATTTATCATCAAATGATTAATTATGTTAATTTTGTTCGATAGTTTATTACTTTTTTCAATGTTAACTAGAAAAACTTAACATTAATTATAATTTTTTTACTCCATTGAGGAAATTTTTTAGTCGACACTGAATAAAAGTTGGAAAAAAAACTCCAACCATCAACATGTTAAAAATATATTAATGAACTTTCATTGAAAAATAACATAAACCATGATCGATCGCAAAGGATAATCAAATTTGATATTTTAATTAAATTTGTAACAATTATTTGATATTTGCATAATTTTTATATTTGGTGATAATTGGAATACTTTATTCAAACAAGAATAAAATTTACTTAGTTTGCATTTTTTTTCACACAAAATATTTTAAAAAATAAATAAATTGAAATGAGATTAATTCAAATTATATCTTAGAAATTGTAAAACTTCTTATCAAAATACATTTAACAATATAAATATCT